TTGCGGTAAACCACTGACTAAATAATTGCGTGCCGTTGCCTAAATTCGGTCACAGCCAGTCATTTTCCCACAAACGGTATGGTGTAAGTGCGTATGTATGTATATTTGTGAATCTGTGGCTAAATCGACCAAATTTGCCGCAACCACTGTGGTGGCAAATATTTAATATCAACTCATATGAGTTCGCTTAGTTGAATTTGCTTTGGCCGAAAATTTATTTTATCTACATATCTATGCACGTAGCTGGCCCAGAACTAATAGAAATTGTCACGAAATACTCGCAAACTGGGAGCAGCATAGCCACTGAATTGTTGACTGAGTGGGTGCGACATATATGAAGCAAAAATTTAGGTGTGCAAATTTTACATGACTGTAGGAAAAACTGCGGCTGGTGAAATTTCTAGTCTAAGAGGTGTTAAAGTGAAGTTGACTATATTTTCGCTGGTAGGTTATTATATGGACGGGTTGTCATAAGCACTTACATATCATGGTTTATAATATGGACTGTGTAGAAATTAAAATTGGCCTTACATTATTGGCTATTCTTGGATATAGTTTTTACGGAATTTAAAATAGTGCATAGTTTTTGGTACTTTAAAAGCTGAACATAAATTTTTGGTACCATTTTGGCCATAGTAATCTTACAACTTAACAATTTGACATACAGTTTTGGCTGTTTAAAACCCCGATTTTGGTTTTTGGTTTGGAAATTAAATTCTAGAAAAATGTTTAAAGCCCAAAGAGTGGATATATGCTTTTTTAAAAATTTTACAACTGAGGATGATTTTTTCGTTATTTCAAAACTGGACATTAATTGTAGCTAATTAAAATCCGGACTTAAATTTTTGGAATTAAAAAAATGTGTAATTTAAAAACTGCACTCAAATTTGTTGCAACTAAACCCTGCACATAATTTTTTATTAATTTAAAACATTCCGAGTGTTTTTTTTTAAATTCGTTAAAAACAAGAGAAAAAGCGTTGAAATATTTTTTAAAGTCAAAAAGCCACTAAAATCTCGTAAATTCTCGAAGCATTGACTGATTTGTTAAAATTTATTGAATACAAATTTTAAAGTTTCGAGCTTTTCAGTTAATCAAATAAAGGGCAACCACTTAGGCTAAAAACATTTAAAGTTACGCGGCTGGCTGACTAAGTATAACCACAGCAGAAACTTTGAGAGTCGTTTATGCTTTCAAATTTGTTCGAAGCGCTTAGCTAATTTTCCAGAGGGGATTTTACTAGCAGTTATCATGTGCATGTGCTCATGTTAATATAACTTTGTGGTCAGCTGATTAAGTCAAGTGACATTTTGCCTGGTTTTGGCTATTTTTTTTTCGTTTTTAAGGCTTATATTTTTTTATAAAAGTCGAGCACTTTACCTAACCAGCGCAACATAAATTCACATATCAAACTTTGTACAAAAATTATGAAAATTTAATAATCTTTAGTATTTGCACCCAAAAATTTTATTCAGAATTTTTAGAAAAATTTTTGGTATGCAATTTTGTAGCTCATTAAATTTTAGTAGGTCAAAGTGTACGTTTCAAGACGCTAGAAAATTGCATTGACTTTTTAAAATATTTTTTTGGCTTTTATTAAAAATCAACGCAATTTTCTAGCTTCTTGAAATTTGTATATAAACTTATAAAAATTTAATAAGCTACAAAACTGCATATCCAAAATTTTCTAAAAATTCTCAAACAAAAATATTATAATTTTCTGGTGAAAATGTTGAAGTTTGTTTAATTTTCACAATTTTTGCGCGAAGTACTAAATGTGGATTTATGTGGCGCTAATTAGGTAAAAAGTCCAAGTTTTATAAAAAAATTTTAGCATTAAAAAACAAAAGAAAAATAGCCAAAACTAGTAAAAATGTCAATTGTCTTAATCAGCTGACCACAAGTGTACTAACATGTATGTACGTACATACACGCAAAATCCGCCTGCGCTGAGTGGTCGACAAAATCAACTTAGTCGCAGTCAAAGGTAAGCCTGTGGCGCCCATCCTCTCACAGCTGGCGCAACAATTTTTAATTACAAACCGCCTGTTTGCTCAGCAAACCTTTCATATTTTGGGAATACCTACTGATGTGAAAATAACTTGCGCAAAGTCCCCAAAAATTGAAAAAAGGACTTTATGATTTTGTGCTTTAATCTTAATTTTATTTTAATTTTCTCTGTGACGGCCACCTAAACAGGAGTCCTGTTTTAGTTGCTCTTTTGTCGCTAGGCTGGTTTTGAACAAAAACAAAAACAAAAAGAAAAACGAAAAAAAAAACAATTTTGTCTGCTGTACACTTCTGTTAAATTAACCAATGCAAATTGAAGTGCTAAAGTTCTCCCCAACCCCCATATAAGTAACAAATGCTCGCCGTCTGGGTCACCGTGGCGTATGCGGGTGTGCCAGGTCTGCCTATTTACAAACAGTTTTGCGGTTAGTCCTTTTGGGTTCGCCTGGATATTTTATGTGTTAAGTGAAAAGTTTTATATGTGGCTAATTTGCGCGCACACACACACACACACACACTTACAGTGCAGTATTGTAAAGGCCCTTTTCAGGGGTGTGTGCATTAGTACTATAGCAAGTCTAACGGCATGTGACTGTAATGGCAGTTGTATATTATGATATGTATGTACATAAGTGGATTCTTATGGGTGGTTGACTTTGTGGCCTCCTTGTAATTTGTTATGACTATAGCCATTAGAGTCAATAATGCGTGTACAAGTGGCTCTTCAAAATGTGCTTAAAAATTATGTTGGACGGATTTCGCAATTCAGGGCGAATTTTCATCGAGCCTTGAATTTGAATAAAATTGCACTTACGTATTCAGTTTCGCTTTTACTTAAATACTACGGTTTAGTGTGGTTTGACTTAATTTAAAGTACTTTCACAATTCCATTTTAATTGCGTAAATATGTATACTTTTTTACACAATTTCATTAACTTTATGAGTATATGTATGTATACATGTACGCTTGCCGTTTTGTGGCAATATTATTTTAATTTTTTTTATTTAAGTACGTAGCGTATGCAGGATTATTTAAATTGGCACTTGTGTTATTTATGCTATTTCATAAGTATATATACGTATATATATATATATAAATGTAAGGGCCATTATATCTGCTTATATGTATACCTACATATGCATGTATGCAAGTTATTTTTATGTATGTATGTAATACGTATGTACAACGTCTCTTTTATATTTTATTGTAATTGTAGTTGTTATAGTTACATACATAAATGAAGCATTATTTGTTAGTATTCCACCCCGCTGCTTTCTCTCTCTCTGCTTTCGGATAGAAGCGAACCTACGTACGTACGTACGTACATATGCACGTAAAAACGCATGCAGCCCGGACACAGCATGTTCGAGAGCGTTGACACATCTGTTTGGTTAAATTTATCGTCACGTTTACCAGTCACGTGAACGCGTAGCCTCGTTCTCGGTGTGGAATGTTGTACTGCGACGTGTCTCTACGTATTGGCTTTGTGTTTGCGCTACAATTTGGCCGGAGCGTGGTGGTGGCGGGGGCGCCGGTATACGCGGCTGGAATGTTGTCTGCAAGTAAAATAACAATATAAATGTGAGTTTTAAAAATAAAATTTGATCAACAACAAGTGCTTATGGCATAACGTTCCGTGCAAAGTGGAAACGTGGCAGTTTTTTTTTTATTTAAATGTTCATTTGCTTTGTGTGGTATGTGTGCACATGTTAACAAATATAGCAGTTTAACTAATAAATCTATATTTGAATTGGCGCTATAACCTCTTCAGTGTTACCCGATACCTATTGGAAACTCCAAGGGGAGCCAAGTTTTTCTACATCGGATCTTTCCGAAGAAGATGAGGTCTTCTTCTGCTTCCGGCAGCAACTCGCTTGTGAAATAGTTCCCATGATGCCTTTCTATCTTACTTTAGTGAGGTAATAATATATATCTGACCGCTTCGACAGTCTAGCGGGGTATCGTCGGTATTGAAATGCGCGCCATCTAGAGTGCTGGTTAGAGTTCTAATAGACACGTTTTTAAGATATCTCATTTTCAGGTAACCCAATGAAGCTTTATGCAGCTTTCATATCGAGCGTATGGTCACAGTAGTACAGCGTCATCCCTAATTGGGCGAGTATATTACATCTCTAGAAGCCACAATAGAGGTTGAAGGTTGATGTAAGGGCGTGCAGTAGAGATTGAGGTTTTTTTTGACAATGCCACCTTCGATAGCCTATGTAATACTGGTTTATGCGGCCGATGTGGCCTGCCTAGTCATGGGCCTATCTCTGCCGGCTGTTTGCAGGAAAGCGAAGATAATACTGAATCTAACTGACACTGGGAGAGGTGGAAATGGGATCACCTCTTACCCAACCAAAACTGGTGCTGTGCTCTTCACTAGAAAGAGTAGGTCAGATGGTCTCATTCCCCACACACTTAAAGGAGTCATAATTCAGACTTCTCCCGAAGTGAAGTAACTAGGAGTAATTCTGGATACAAAATTATCGTCGAAATCTCAGGTGGAGCACAAGATGTAAACAGATCTTTTGTAAAACGTGGGGTCTGTCACTAAAGGGAATCCTCTGGATTTATATCTCTATGATCAGATCCATAAGCAGCTATGTGTCAGTGGTATGGTCGAGTAGACTCTCAATCAAGAGCGTGAGAAATCTGCTTGCTAAACTTCAAAGAACTATTCGTTGTCGTGTGCTGTACGGGACCTTCCTATACAACAACTGCCGCTGCTCT